TGTCGCCGTTGCGCGGCCAGTCCCCGTTTTCCTCAGAGCGGGGAGCCTGCTCGGAACGCTTGTCCCCTCTCCGCTGCTGCGGGCACACGTTCTCCAATGGTAGAAACGCTCCAAACGCTCCTGCTGTCCTTTTAATCAAGGTCCCGTCCGAGGAGAGAGTCTGGAAAAACTCATTAGTAGTCATCCATTAATATCGGTTGAGTTACACTGCCAGTAATTTAAGGAGAAGGCTCCCTGGAGCACAGCAGGTCTGCAGGACGCTCACGCACCTGTCCATCTGTCCATCCATCCATCCATCCATCCATCCTCAGCACAGCCCTCAACAGCACGAGCATGTCGCGCTCGTGACTTCTCTCGCTTGCTGCTTGAGCGGGAGATGAGGGACGTGAAGAACATGTGAGCTCACCTCAACTCCTTAGTTTAAATTCCTCGTTCCATAATAGCTTACTTGGGATACTTTTGGAATTAAAATGTTTCAAATAACAAAGGAAAAAAAGGATTAATAAATGCTGCAGTAGAAACGTAACACACTAACAGATGCGTTAAAATTTCATTTAGTTTACACACTATTCTAAGTTTCTGTATCTTCACCCATAGCAGCTTGAGATAAAGCCCTGTACTTTTAAGAATTTTATTAAACTGCTTAATTAAGGCAGTACAAAACAGCGTTTAAACTAGGCAATAGCTGGACCACATGACACAGGCATTACTGATGGGCAGTTTTGCTGCTGGGGGGATGAGCTTCAGGAGCTGGGATATAGAGCTTTTACAGGGTTTTTAAGTTGTTAGTTACACCTTAAAGGCATGAACCAGTTCACCAACTTTCACGACATCCAGTAGCAGCTAGGGAGATAAATCGTCACAATGGAAATCTTGTCTAGCACCAAGGTCACCTGTTTCAATTAAGAACATAGGAAGGTTGCACTGTGAGTATTTAGGGAACATGGCAATCGTAAAGAGTTATTTTGCGTCTGTATCTTACAGCAGCAAAAGTATAAGTTGTGCAAGATGCAAAATTAACAGTTGTTTGACTTTCCTGTATGCACTAGGGTAGTAACTTGCCAGCTGTTTCCAACATCTGCATGTTCGTTAACAGCTGGCAATTCAAAACCTTTTTTTTTTTTCTAAACTGAGTATTTCCAAAAGTTAGTGGAAAAGCTAATGTTCTTCTTGCTATAAAAGAGCTAATTTTGGGCTCCATTCAGGACAGTCTCTAAGTGCATATGAATATTCAGTTGGTACTGATAGGTTATGTGCTTGAAAAGTTCATCTTCACACCAGCAAAAGACCACAGAGGCACAGTTGGAGTAGATGACCCCAAACAATACCCTGCCCTATGATTCTATGAATAAGCTTACTTAATTCAGTAACCCAAATCGGAGTTGGCTCGGTGTGTGAAAATTTGCAGAGTTCTTCATGTTAGCAAATACAGATTTAAAAATAAAGCTTTATCTGTGGTCAGCAGAGCTGCCCCTTGGACTGGACAGGAACTGCTACATTTTTCAGTCTGAAAAGAATTACTGGAAAGGGTTCCTTAAACTAAGAGAGAAGATTACCAGCTGTGTAACTGGAGGTGGCCAGAAATACCTAAACACATTTCATCGTCATGCACATCCTTTACAGACGCTGAAGCGCAGAGGCGATGCACGTTCCAGCATCTGTCAATCGCGCTTTATAACGTAGTTCTCCATAGGCAGTAAAACCGTATTTGTTCTGTATGATTTTGCTCTAAAAAACACCATAGGAAGCCAGACCCTCCCCGAAAATAAAAATCCATTGCTAAAAGCATGTATCTGTATGGCGTTGGCAGAAGCACAGGTGACTGCAGGCAGCGTGGACTTGCGCGCGTACGGGAAGGGGGTGTCCGTGTGTATTCCTCCGAGGCAGGGGCAGTGGGAGGCTAGCGGGGACGGCAGCAGCTTGGTCTTGCTCCAGTGGGTTGTCCAGTGAGTGATTCCCGTTTCCCCTAAGGCTGCCTCTCATTAGCATGAATCAGGGGAAGGGCATAAAAGACTCCAGTTCATTTTGAGTCTGGAAAAACTTTCCTTCAAAATGACAACCAGAGTGTTCTGGCTCCTCTGCTTTGTCATTAGATCATCTTCCAGCGCACTGGCCGGTAAGTCTGTTAACACTCGAAGCGGGGCTGGGGCATATTTGCCTTTGGTATCAGGGGAGGCTAAACACGTTGCTACAAATTCTTGCCCGAGCAGCCCCTCTTCAGCTGTAGTCTTTTCAGCAAGCGGTAGCAGTAGTCGCGCAAGCGCTCAAGAAAGAAACATTTCAATATGTTTGTGGGATGGGAATGTAAATTGCAATATTTGGTTTGTCAGCATTTGAAAGAATTAAGAGCACCTGCCAAAAGCTGGTGCCACGAATCCTGCTAGCCATCATTCAGCAACTGAGGTTTGACTTGCTTCCGCATATGGGATTTTTTTATTTGCGTGTGACCTTTCCCTTTCAGTCTCCTTCCCCTCACCTGTAAACTCCAGATTTCTTCATTTATTTCAACATGCTCTGTGCTGTCATGTGTGCCTGCAGCAAGCTGTCCGAAACAGATTTTTTTTTTTTTTTAAGTATCTCATTGATAGAACAGAAATAAGATACACATTTATTCCATTGGGAAGGAGTGAATTATGCTGCAGTTGTATGTCTTAGGTTGCAAGAGCGAGACAGAAATAGGCTGGTATAGGAGAACAAACCTCAAGGTCCTGAACAGATTGAACAGAGAAAAATGAACTATTTCTTGTTACAATCCATGACTAAGAAGGCATGATAAACTGGTAGAAGAGTATACTTATAAAACCAAGGCCAAAACACCTGTTCGGAGTTCACAGCTTCAATATTGAAACATCTCCAACACACCCTTGCCTATTGCTTTCTTTAGCTTGGACTTCTTCCACCCCGTTCTTCATGGACATTCTTTTGACTTTATGTGTGGCCAGCCCAAATATCAGGGAATCTTTCCCATGACAGCAGCTGGTGAGAGCAAAGGGGGAGAAGTGGCAAGGTCAGCGGTTGAGTCAGTTATAGAAGATAAACCAGGACGTTGTTCATCTGTGTATGTCAAATATCTCTTTTCACATAAGGAGTTAGGATCAGCCTCCTACACAGTGCTAACCACAGACAGCGAACACCCAGGCAGCGGCTGTGTGTGGGTGAGCTGTTTTAAAACTGTGCTGGCTAACTAAGGGCATGCAGTGAAGGGCTAAAGTAAAAGGAAAATGAACTGCAAGAGGAAATTTGTCTCTTCCGAGGCTAAACGGGAAGTCATTTCGCTTTGTGAAGTCCAAGCGATGAAGGTGAAGGTATAAACAAAGGCCTAGGTGACCGTCCGGCTTGCGTGAACAATGTCATTAAGCCTTTCCATTTTTCACTAGATTCCCAGACACTTCCTCTCTTTTTCTCAACCCTTGTCCTCTCAACTTAAGAAAAGCCTTGAAATAATTGTTACTCAGCAGCGATAGCCTAGCTACCAGACTATGGTACTACTACTATACAACTCTGTAGCGCAAAAGTCACAGACCCAAATCTGTGGATAAAGATCTTTTCAGTAGCGTTCAAAGCCCGAAGCCGCTGTAGAGTCCAGATGACATTGTCAATAAGGCATCCCATGGATGGGAAAACCAAATAGTTCTGTTGTCATGGTCTTTTAAACAAGCATCCCAAATGGCAATGTGAACCTTGTTTCCTCCGATGTTCCCTGGAGATTCAGGCTTTTGAGAAAAGGGTTTGTTTATAAGTCATGTTTTTCATTTGCAACGATAATAAAGTAAAAATGCAAATCTCCTGTGTTTTGCTCACACAGCTGCATTCTCTGTACTGGACCTTCCCTGTCTGAGTACAGAAGAATGAGGAGCTCTATTGTATTTCATCTATTGAACTATTTATCAGTTATATTGACATATTGTTGGAGGCCTCACTTATGGACTAGAGCCTCAAATCTGCCGGGCACTTCCCATTCAGAAGCACATGGAATAAAAAAAACAAAATTAAAATGCTAATTCACGCGCTCTCTTTTTGTACGTAGGATCCCTGCCCTATGCCGCGAAACCCAGTCAGCCTCTCGGCAAAGATGCGTATAGTTCAGCAGCCGCCGCGCCTGGCCAAGTCAAACTGCCAGCCTGGGGCACCAGAGAGAATCACACAGAGCGCTGGCTTCTGTCTCCCGCTGACCTGCAGCGGCCAAAACCTCCTGAAATCATCTCCCTCTCATCGGACAAAAAGAAACGCACCAAGCCTTCTCTAGAAAACAGCACAGGGCTGAGGAAGCACCTCTTGCAGTATGGAGGGGCCCTGCTTCTGGAGAGCCCGACCGAGGGGTCCTCTCCTGCCTCCTTGGACTTCAATCACGCAAACAGAAAGCACGCGGACAGACGGCTGGCTGAGGCTGCCAACAGAGTGTCGGCTCACTTCCATCACGCCGCGTCTCCCTATCGAAAGATGACATACTTAGTGGAGGCTCATCCTTTTCCAGACTCTGGAGCAGTGGAGTCAGATGATCCTAACACGCTGGATCACTTCAACCGCCCAGGCAAGACAATCCCCTATAAGCATCCTGATCCCTTGAAAAAGATCACCAAACCCTCCTGGGTCACCAACCGCCAGTCAACCAGCTTGCCATACGACTTCGGCGGGCTGAAGAAAGGTAAGGGGACAGCCTGCTCCGGCAAGGGATATCCTGAGCTTTCCAAAGGTTGGGTGGCATAATTTGGATGATGTATCCCCAAAGGGGCCGTTGCTGCCCCTCAGTCTGTGTGCCTGTTCCAGATGGCGATAAGGAGAAGGCGTGTCTGACCGAGTGCAGGAAAGAGAGGGACGAAGTGGAGGCCTACTGCGCGAGCGAATTCGGTAAGTTGTGTCCCCCGTGATGCAGACAAAGCGGGTGCCTTCTTTGTTCATCTATCACTGACATTTCACGTCTGCTTCTAAGATCCTGTTTCACTGTGTTAAATAATTACTAAGTACGCTAAAAGGACCCATCACAGCGCTTTGTAAATGTACTACGACAAACGGTACCAAGCCTTACC